CGATCCCCTCACCCATGACCAAATACGACCCCTGTTGGGGAATCCCAACAACGATGTACCCTGAGCGCCACCCGTCGAAGCTGTCTCATCCATGAGGATGCGATATGCAGTGGTGCTATATTTATGAGAATAGGTGTAACTCTGGTCGATTATTTGGAACCCATCTGTCGCACTCTATCCTGGGCTGGTGCGGTCCACCGTTGTCGTATAGGGAGACTAAGTTTGCGGAGTAAAAATGCACATACTTTCGTGCAGTATCGTAATGCTGCACAAGCGCGTTTCTATCTGAATTTCTTCTGCTTGATCTGTGTCTTTCTCAAGTTGCCCTTAGACGTATACTGCTGAACAGAAACCGGTTTCCTTTGGTTTTTGTCATTAATTGCCGTTCTCACGTGTAAGGCAATAGGTATAGGCTAAACTTTCACAGGTGTAAAAGTATTCAGCTGGCTTGTAGAAGAGGACGAAATTCGAGGGGGAGGGGTGGTGTACTCGCGAAAGTTTTCCCCAGCGGCAGGACGTGCCCTGAACACAAGTGATTGGCTGCTCATAGAGAACTGGTATGTTTCCAAGCTCCACTCTGAACATGGCTCAACTTTTTCTGCTCATTTTAACACATTTTTCCTCACTAGCCATTTTTTTCTATAAATGGAGAAGATCAACTGGAATTTTTCAGATGATCCTGATCTTATCTATACGCATTTTCTTCAATTATCACAATGTTATGAAACTATGTCAACCAACAACAAAGTTGTTGTATTCACTGATGATTTATCTGTGCGGAAAGCGTTCTATGGACTTTTGTATAATTGTAAGTTTTCCGAAGTTTCTTTTTATTGTATGTTACAAAGCCAGGAGTCCTCTGAAGTTTGCGCTCCTCCTCCCAAGTGTCGGCCAGGACTTTCAGTCGACACTGCGCGCTCAATATTTCCTAGATAGTTCAGTCGAGACAGTGCAGCACTAATTATGGCAGATCAATTAGGTCCAAGCAGGTTCACGCAACGCTTCTTTCAACACCTCTTTCGCCACCTTCTCCGAGTTGGTAGTTGATGTCAAGGCAATCAGCCGGGGTGGTGTCAGGAGGGGAGTAATGAGCCTACCTTCGGCTGCCTTTTCAACCAATAGTGATCGGTTAGTGTATCGATTCAGGAGCGAAACTACCAGTGGTAAAAACGCCGTAGAGGGGCCCAATCTCTCCTGAAACCACCCGACTAACTGCTACGGCATAAACACTAGATCCCAGGAGCACACTTTATTCCTCCCACTTTCAGTATAGGTGTTGTATTAAGTATCAACGTTTCCCATTCTCACTAATCAATTATCGATTTCCACTTTCAGCTACGCGTACCGGCCTTATAGCACATTCGGAAACATTACAAGTGATAGGTGTATTGTCAATTACTGATTTTACTATGGTGCTCATGATGTTATGGAAATTCCGTGAAAATATTGAAGAGATGAAAGGGAAACCTTTGAGTTATGAGGAATTCAAAGGAATGGATATAGCAAATATGAAGATTAAAAGATGGAAAGGTAATTATTTGATGTAATTCGTTTGTATGGATTTATTTAGGTATTATTATTTATTTGCCAATGTTTCATTTTATTCGTTCATGCAAAAATTCATTTATTCAGAGTTGCTCAAAATGCGAGGAATGCAACGGGAATTTATCAGCATCAATTCAAATGAAAGGTTTGTGAATATTCATAGGTCACATTCATTCACATAGCTCCAGTAGGATAAGGGTGCAGATGAATCTGAGTTGTTGGGGAGGTTGCTATCCCCCTTTTCTAGTCGCTTAAT